CCAGGACATTCTGTCTCTTACACTCTCTCTCTCTCTCTCTCAGTATTCCCAGGCTAGTGTGGGAAAGGGTGACCTCAGGCGGTGTGACAGGAGGCCCCACCCCCAGCTGCTCCTTTCTGTAGGCCAGCAGGCATCTAAGCAATTCAAGAAGCCCAGATTGGGTAGGCATCCTGTTAGGGATGCCATCCTCCCTCACTCCTTCTCCAATCTCCTGTGTGTCCCCCGGCGAGGCCTGCCCGCTCTACCCGTCCCGCCTCAGTGTGCCCCTCACCGATGATCATGGAGAAGACACGTGCCGGCTCCTTGCCCGTGACCTTCTTGTACAGCTGTGGGTAGTAGAGCTCCAGGCTCTCAAGGAAGGCCACGTAGCCCTTGTGGCCTGTGCGTTGCAGGATGTCCAAGAGCACGCCTATAGGCAGAAGAGGCCGGTTGGGTGGGTAGAGGCCAAGGAGGCCCACGGGAGATAGCAGGCCTTGGGTGCCCCACGCTCCACCCCACAGGGCCCCACCTGGTAGAGGGTTGTGGTGGTTGGGTGAGGCGCCCTCAGGTCTCACTGGGCTGAGGACACAGTGCTGCCCAGCCGCCCTATGGTCCTGAGGGGTCTCAGCTGTGGTGGGAGTCCCACTGTCCCGGCTCTCAGCAGCACTGAGCAGACCAGAAGTGGGTCACCAGAGGGAGAAGCGTGCTGTTCACATGCCCAGGATGGAGGCCAGGTGGGGCAGGCTTCCTGGGAACCCAGGGACCTGGTCTGCAGTGGGGAGAGCTGTACTCACCCACTTTCCGCTTGCGGGTGACCAGGTTGGGGTCGCTGAGCACCTGCTCCTCATCGTCGGGATTCAGAACCTTGCACTGGCGCAGGTAGGGTGTGATGCGTGAGGGGTCGATGACGGAGATGAGCTTCACCCGGAAACTCTCCAGCGTGCTCCAGCACTCGTCCTCGTTCTCGTAGTCCGACATGCCCGCCGCAGGCCGCAGGCTGGGGGCGGGAGAGCAGGCGAGGTGGGATGCCCGCCTCTGCTTCCTGCTGGGCCTGGGCCCTGCTCCACGAGCAGCCCCAGGCCTGCCAGGGCCCAGCCGAAGCTCCACGACCAGTTCTAGCGTGACAGTAGAGGCAGGGCCATAGCCCCCCTTCGCCTACCCTGAACCCTGCTCCGCCTGCCGCCTCTGCCACCAGGGAGTGGACAGACTCCCCTAAGTCCAGACTGGGTAGGAGTCCCCTCAGGGATGCCATCCTCCTGGCACACACCACCTTCACCCCTTCGGGCCCTGCCCCTGTGCGGGCCCCCTGTCATGCATGGCGGTGAGCGGTTGGAGCTTTGCCCCTGGGGCTTCCCTGCGGGGCTCTGTCCCTTGGCGTGCCTGTGCACCCTCAGCCGGCCAAGATCTAGGCTAGGATGAGGCAGGCTGGCTCTCCCCCTTTGCCATGCAGGACTTCCTCATTCCTCAACAGGCCCCAAGTTCTTCCATCAGTCAACAGCTGGTGATGCAACGGCCGCCTGGCAGCTTCCTGTGTTCACTGTCACAGGGGCGCGTTTGTCACCTCCAACAGGCCGACACAGGGAGGGGATGGCAGTGTTGCCCACAGCCTGGCAAGGCTGCTGTGGCTCCTTCCCAGTGCCAGGTGCTAGGGATCCCTGGGCTCTTCTGCCTCAGACAAGGCCTGGCCCTGGCCTGAGGCTGGTGGGGGACTAGGCCAGCTCTGGTGGAAGAGGTCCACCCATGTTGGCATTACCCACTGCATTCTACCTGTGCGAGGTGGACGTCTCAACCAGCAGGACTGGAAGCTTGGCTCCAAGGCTGTGCTAAGGCTGCCAATCATACAGTTGTGGCGCTCTGCAGTGGGGACAGCTCCTAGTGCCTAAGAAACATGGGCATCAGCCCAGGGGGCCAGGTCACCAGTTGGAGAGACACGGGCCCAGCTGGCTCCTTCTGAAGGATTTCCCAGCTTCCTGCTGCACCAGCATCATCCGGTTCAATAGCCCAGGGGAGAATCCTTGTCACAGTGAGCCCCAAATCCACATGGCCCCACACTGGACTTATCTCGGTCCCGTCCCCCTGGTATGACCAAGTACCTCTCTAGTGCCTAAGCACCATCTAGTACTTGGCTTTGGGAGCTGACTGCTCCTCTGGACACTTGATCCAGAGCCACCAAGGTCTCCCCAGCCACCTTTCAGAAAGGACACCTGCTGAGCCTACCTCAAGGGTCCAGTGTAGGATGATACCCTGGCCACTGACACGGCAGTAGCCCGGGCCTCTCTGGATGTGGAGATGCTGCTGGCCGCCCTGGCTGGAGGGAAGGTGGAGCCGTGTGAGCCTCTGCACTTCCTGATGGGTTCTGGTGAGGCCACAGGGACTGGCTGGCCCTCCCACAAGGGGATAGTCCTTGCTGACCTGCTTTCTGATTTGTCCAAGGAGGGAGGCCCCTGGGGCCAGGCAGAGGGAAGTGGAAATCCTGTGGGGAGCAGAAGCACCCTCTCTATCCTGTGCCAGTATCCTGGGGCCACTGGGAGTCCTAGACACCAGCACTGTGGAAGATAGGGGTGGCAGACCTCCTGACGCTGGAGGACAGTCCACTCCCCAGCTCCCTTTGACCCAGAAGAGTGCTCCATGACAAACACTGGAGTTAGCCATCATCTCTGCAAATACCCATGCAGGTTTGGGCCAGCTGGCCATGGCCAGGCTTACAGGGGTCCTGGCAGAGGTCAGTGCAGCCTAACCAGCACATATTGACCACACAAGGCTTGGCAGCCACCCTGGGTGCCAAGTGGGACATGTGAGGGCTGTGCGGTGGCTTCAGTCTAAACAGGCATGGGCAGTTTGTTCTGCGCCTCACATACAAACTTCCCCAGTGGCCTGGCTTCCCCTCATCCTTGCCCCTGGGCATCCCCACAGCCAGTCCCAGGAGGCTGCTAATGGCAGGACAAAGCTTGGCCAATGTACAGGAAGGAGGGGCAGCAAAGCCTGCTGCTGACTGCTCTAGCTCTCTCTTCCAGCAGCCCTTGGAGCCTTGTGCCCACCATGGGTGCAGGGAAACCCCAGGCCGCACCTCAGCCTGCAGAGCTGGTTGAACTATGTTGCCACTTGGCCTGCCCGGTTGGGTTGAGGCAATAGCAACTGAGCAGCAGGTGGGAAGGGCAGGAAGCTGGCATTGAGCAGTTGGGACCGCTCCCTTTCTCTGACCCGCAGTGGCATCTAGCTAGCCTCTGCAAGGCATAGGCAAAGGTCATCCTAGACCCTTGGGAAGCAGGGCCCATGCCATGCCTAGGTCAATTCACAGGCAGGGATCCAGGGATCCATTCCCCTCACAGGGAGCCAGGGCCAGGTCCCTAACCCAGTGCTTGACCTGTGGTATGAACAGGGATAATGGTGCCTTCCTCATGTTCTTCAGAACAGGGCAGTATCTGGCACCTGAGTCCCAGCCCTGTGCCATCCTGGAGTAAAAATGGAAGACCCCATGGAAGAAGAGGGAGTAAGTCAAGCACAAAGGGCCAGGAGTGTGGCTCAAGTGGCAGAGCACCTGCCCAGCAAGTATGAGGGCCTGTGTTGAAACTTCTAGCTACTACCACAATCAACCAACAAGCAAACAAACACTGTATTAAAATTAAGGTAGGAGCTGGGCTCTAGTGGCTCCAGTTTATAATCCTCTGCAGGAGGCTGAGATCTGAGGATCATGGTTTGAAGCTCATCCAGGCAGGAAGTAGAGCTGTGGCTCAAGTGGTAGAGCATTAGCCTGAACTCTACCAGTACCCAGGCTCTAAGTTCAAGTCCTAGGAGCTCCTTACCCCCTTAACCACACACAAAATTAAACTAGGAAGCCAGACATCAGTGGCTCACGTCTATTAATTGCAAATACTCAAGTGACTAAGATCTGAGGATCATGCTCAAAGCTGATCTGGACAGATAAATACAAGACTTTCAGGGCTGAGAATGTGGCTTAGTGGTAGAGTGCTTGCCTAGCATGCATAAAGCCCTGGGTTTGATTCCTCAGTACCATATAGACAGAAAAAGCTGGAAGTGGCATTGTGGCTCAAGTGGTAGAGCTCTAGCCCTGAGCACAGACAGGCTCAAGGATGGAGCCCAAAACACCGCCCCCCCCCCCACCAGGGACTGGTGGCACACGACTGTAATCCTACCTGCTCAGGAGGCTGAGATATAAGGATCATGGTTCAAAGCCAACCCAGAGAAGGAAAGTCCACGAGACTCTTATCTCCAATTAATCACCAGAAAACCAGAAGTGACACTGTGGCTCAAAGTATTAGAGCACTAGCCATGAGCAAAAGAGCTCAGGGATAGCACACAGGCCGAGTGCAAGCTCTAAGACTGAAAAATAACCAAACCAAACCAAACACAACAACAAAACCCACAAAAAATGCTGAAATTCAGCAGCAAAAAACCTCTCAAAATTCCCAATAGGTAGCCACTGTTGCCATGGTGACAGCAGATACTGGCACTAGGACTGGGGGACATGCCTGTCCTTTTGCTCTACTTGTAGTAGAAAGAGGAAGCATGCTACAAAAACAAAGCCCACAGCAGAGCCTGCCTGGGGCTGTGCAGCCTAGAACTACAACCTCCATTCTCTTCTGCTAAGCCTCAGGCTCATGAGCTTAATAAGGCCCTGAGCAGCCTAGGGAGGCTCTGAGGACCTGTAGCTGAGCCGGCTGGTCTCACACAGGTCCCCAGACCTGCTTTTTTTTTTTTTTGTTGGTCGTGGGGCTTGAACTCTGGGCTTGGGCCCTGTCCCTGCGCTCTTCGGCTCAAGGGAAGCGCTCTACCGCTTGGGCCACAGCACCACTTCCGGTTTTCTAGTGGTTTATTGGAAATAAGAGTCTCATGGACTTTCCTGCCCCGGCTGGCTTTGAACCATGTTCCTCAGATCTCAGCCTCCTGAGTAGCTAGGATTACAGGTGTGAGCCACTGATGCCCGGCTTGCCCTATTCTTTAAGACAACAAAACCACAAAAGTTTGTCTTGCTTTTTAATTAAAAAAAGAGAACATTTATTTCTTCCAATATGTGGACTTGCACGCAGGGACCAGGCCAGCTGTGTCTGCTGGTCACTGTGGTCTCGTTCCCTCTTAGGCCTGTCTGCAGGCTGTCAGCTTCCCAGGCTTCAGCTGCTTCTTCCTGCGGCCTGTGATGGGCTCCCAGGTAGGCATGGGGCCTGTGCTTCTGGGCCGTAAGAGTCCTTGTCCTGAAACACAGCAGTGCCCCATCAGGGGGGCACCCTGGTCCTCAGGCACAACAACGTAAGCCCACAGACAGTGTTGGCAGGCAGGAACTCCAGCAGCACCACACCATGTAAGGACAGGTGCCATGGTTCAGGTGGGCTATACAGAAGCTGGCTGCCGAACTCCTGACAATTCTGCCCTTCCTACTCTAGACCTGTTTGTCCCTGGGCCTGCTGTTCCAGGGCCCACTTTGTCTGAATCAGTACATGCCAGGGCCACCAGGCACCTGCTGCCCTGGTCCTGGGGACCAGTAGCAAAAGCAAGCAAAGCCTGCTCATTGTAGGCCTGTGGTCAGGGGAGACAGAGCCTAAGCAGGTAGACAGACTCTGTGTGTGTGCTGTGTGGAACAGACACTAGTAGAGCCACCTTAGTGTGGAAAGAGGGCCAGTCAGGCCCTCAGAAGTCAGGGTAGGTGTTTCTGAGGAGACCACCTCAGTGAAGAGTGCCAGGTGAGATGCTCTGCTAAGGCCTGAAGCCCCGTAGAGCCTGGGCTCAGATCAGTGCTCCTGGAGAATCCCTGAGTGTGGGCTTGCCTCCCCAGGCTCAGCCACATGCCTAACCCCACCACACCTGGCCCCAGCTCACATCCTTCACCCTTCACCAGATACTTACCTACTGCTCATGGCAGCCGCCTCCGCTTCCGGGCGTGCTGGGCATGACGGGTCCTGAGCACACGAAGGTCATCAGAAGTGTCCAGCTGGGAAGGGGCTGAGGCCTTGCTGGGGTGTGGGGACCTCTGAAACGAAGACCCGCGGGAGTGACCTTCCCAGCCACAGTAGGCAGGGAGAGTGCCATGGGTCACGACCCCCCCAAGTCAAAACATTCTGAATGTGCCATTCTCTGCCCTTGTCTAGGACAGGCATGTGGCACAAGCTGAGCCATGTGGTGGCCATGAGAGGCCTTCCTGGGGCCTGGCTTTCTGCGACCATCCTCACATGGGGGCCTCCCATCATGTTTAAGCAGTGCCTGGCAACTGGCCTCTCGATCCCTAAGAGGCCTCCTTCAGGGGTGGGTGGCCTCGGCCCCTTCAGCTCAAGGACTCCATGGAGGATCAGACAGCCTCCTGTGGAAGGGCAGGCGCTAAACCTGTGCATTCCCATGTTCCCGCCTCACCCCCGTACAGGGCCTGTACGGCCCCTCTGGTTTGGCACAAAATCTGGGGAACAGCAAGGACACAGGCCCACACCTTTTTTGTTCTAAGGCTCACAGTGCCAACCCAGCTCAGAAAACTCTAAGGGAGCACAAGAGATGCCTGGCAGAGCTCTGCCCACAGCAGCACAGAGGCAGCGGCCCACCTGGGGGACAGCGTGCGGGGGATGAGGCCTGAGCACCCTCGACTCAAGCGTGCAATGCGTGGGGATCTGGCCCCCACAGTGAGCCCCCCTTTACCCACAACCCACATGGGTGGCTTTGATGTAGAAGCCCCAGTCCTGGTGGGCTGAGTGAGCTTCCTTCTCAAGAAACCCACAGGCAGCCCTGCTGGGCAACTTCCCCACGGCTGCTCCCACTCCCACCCCACAGGCTGGGAGGCCCCATGCGGCCCCCTGCTCAGGGGAAGTGGGCCTCATGCCCTTACCTGGGTGGGGCTCACGGCCACCGGGCCCACCTGCACTACACTGGACATGTCCTTGCAATCCAGCTCCCCCAGGTCGTCTTCACTCTCCGTGTCCACCCTTGGGGCCAGTGACAGGGTGGTGGGGACACCACAGGGAGGCAGAGTGGCCAGGAATGCAGGGAGCGCGAAGGCTGCCAGGAACCGTGTCTTCAACAGGAGGTAGGCCGGGTTGTCCCGGAGCCGCCTCCGCACCAGGCCCAGTGAGGACTGGGTGGCCCCAGCCTCCGGCTCGGTTCCCGCCAGCAGAGAGGCGGCCTTCTGCTCCAAGGCCTTCTTATGGAGCAGGAGGCTGGACAGCACCCGCAAGTTGCACAGGGCAGGGGGCTGGTAGGGCAGCCTGCTCTCTAGCCGGGGCACATGGGCACCTTGCTGCCCCTTCAGCCACTTCCTCAGGGCAGCCTCATTCTCTTGGGAGAGCAGGCCCAGGTCCCATGCGCCCTTCTCAGGCCTCTCCAGGCTCAGTGACCCCGAGGAGTTCCCTGGTAGCCCCACTGCATCACCCCTGCAGCCAGGGGCACTGTGGGTAGGCAGCTGGTTCAGTCTGGGGGGTTCTGCTTCTGTATGGCTGGCCTGGGCCTCTGCCGGGGCACACTGGGGCTCACTGTCTTCAGCTGAGCTTCGGGACAGGAGGCGTGAGGGGGGCAGTGTCATGGAGGAAGGGACGGGCTCCGGGTCTGCACTGGCTGGGGACAGGCAAGGGGTCTCAGCAGGGGGAGGTGGCAGGGTTGCTGGCAGCCCTGCAGGGTCGGGAGTGGCCACCTGCCCGGACACGCCCACCATGGCTTGCACGGGCACAGGGAGCAGCCCCTGTGCTGTGAGCACCCAGGTGACTGGCAGGGGCAGGCTGGCTAGGGGAGACCCCCCTTGGGGTGGCAGGCTGAGGGGCTGAAGAGGCAGCTGAGCAGGGCTAGGGGTGGTGGGGAAAAGGGGCAGGACTCTGGGCAGGCTCTGCTCCTGGGATGTGGCAGGGGCCTGAGGCTGCCCCAGACTGCTTGGAGGACAGCTCACAGGGCCCTGACTGAGGCCCAGAGCAGGGAGGCTGCAGGCAGAAGAGGCTGTACCCTGGGCTCCTGGGAGGACAGGGGTGAGGGTCACAGCTTGTAGGCCAGCAGGCCGCTCATCCTTGGCTGAAGCCCCAGCCTCCTGCCAGGAGCCCGAAGGGCTTGCACTGGCCAGCACAGGGCTCCCGGGCCCTGACAGCGTGGGGTTGGTAATGGTAAGGCAGGGGGCTGGGAGGCCCTGGGAGGCTGGGGGCAGAGAGGGCTGCAGGACCACAGGTGAGGAGACCAAGAGCTGGGGCTGGAGAGCCACGGGGGCCTGGGCGGCCTTCTTGGCACGGGACTCCCGGAGCCGCTTCTCTCGCAGCAGCTCAGACACTGTCTTGGGCTTGGGCCGGGGGCCACAGGGGGCAGGCGCAGGCACCTGGGATGAGGCAGACTCAGTGTGGCAGGATCCCAGCCCTCTGTACCCTACATGGCTGGTGTTCTGGGCAGTGCCCTGAGGTGGCGCATTCGGGAAGGGGCGGCCTGTGGAAGGAGAGACACCAACTCAATGGGGAGCTCTGGGCACACGAGGAAGCCTATACGTGGTATCTGTTGAATACAAGGCCCGAGTCCTAGGTCTGACCAGAGGCCAAGCTCCAGCTACCCATTCTCAGGTCTCCCGCCTCACGACCCAAAATACTGGGCTCTCACAGCCTCTCACAGCCAGGGTAGCCTATGTGCTGGGCAACCCAGCCTGTTTAACAGACCACTTAGGAACAGCCGCTAACTCTCAAACATCTTCAAAACCAGGATAGTGGGGCCTCACTGATCTCTGCTCACTGTGTGACAAGGCACTGGGGAATGGGACTGCCAGTGGATTCCAGGAGGGAGCCCTGGCTGCTCTGGGCTCCTCCAGACAAGCTCTCAGCCTGGACTGTCCACCTGCTGCTGGAGGCTGCACTCAACGCACAGGCAGGGCACTTGTGGTTCAGGGAGACACATGGGGCACGGGTACCTGGGGTGCTCTGGACACTGGCGGACTCCTAAGGACGAAGGCAGAAGGGAGTCAGGTCAGTATAGGTCCCTGCTAGGCAGCCCCCTCAGTCTCTCCCACATTTCTGCACAGTTCAGCGGCGGTGGCTGCTGTGCTCTCCTGGGACAGCCCACCCTGTAGATGCCTGGCCAGGGCCCACTGGATAACCAAGCCAAGGCAGTGTGGGGCCTGAGGCCCAGGGGCACCAGAGTTGTACTTGATCTTTAGATTAGTGACACCATTTCACTGTCCTCCAGAAATCAGGGCCCTGGGGGGAGGCCTCCTGCTGACAGAACTCATGGGAATTCAATTTTTGGAGCAAATGGTGCCCACAGCTCCCAGCCTAGCCTCTGTCTAGGATGTTACAGAGAATGCTGGGCTCCCAGCCTATGGCTGAGCTTCATCCTACCTGCAACTGCCTCCCATGCCTCCCAGGAGGGCCTGGGCAGGGCAGAGTGGGGATGGGCCCACTCTTCCACAGGGTCTGGGAATGCCCTTCACCAGTGGAGGAGGTCACTGCTGGGGAGGGGACGCCCGCCTTGCCCTGTTTCTTGTTGCTTCCAGCAACTACTACCTGTAGAAGACGTGACAGTGGTGCTTGAGCACCAGGCTGGAGTGCTGTGAGCGGCCGGGCCTTCCTCTCTCGAACAACCTCCATACAGCCTGCAGTGTCTATCTGTAGCAGCTGAGGGACATGGGGTGGGGTGGGGGGGCGTTTAAGAGCCACCTGACCCCTGCTCCAGCCCCACACAGAGCCCGGGTGTCCAAGGGGTCCCCATGGGATAGAGGGAGCCCTAACAATGGCTGCGCACAGAGCAGATCCAAATTCTTCCCTGCCAGGGCGGTCACAAAGGCATCACAGGCCCAGGGCCTGGATCAGGGGCGTGGCCGCGCTGCCCATGAGCACAGTGCGGCCCAGCCCTGGCTTCCTCTGTGCTCCATCCTCACCTTCTCTCCCTTTCAGCTTCTACTTCAACCTGGGGCCCAGATGCCACCCCATTCCCAGGACACCAATGTACTTCATGGGGGCAGTAAACACTGACTAGCCACATTAAACCCGCCACGCTAACCTGTTGGCAGTTATTTTCAAGGATCAAAAATGTCCTAGTTTGTAGAACTGCAAGAACAAGGCACAGCTCACCTGGATGAACAGCGTGAACACTGGAGTGCTGGCTAGGTGTGCATGCTCCAGCTTCATCCTGACGCGGTCAGCTGGGGGACAAGGCACATGGGGAACAGCTCCGACTGGGAAGTTCCCCTACTGGAGCCTCAGGCTGGCTGCCAGGCAGGGGCAGGAGAGGCCTGGAGGGGCCCAGGCTGCCTCCTCTAAGGGACAGCAGGCATCCCCTTTAAGCTTGCTCATCACCAGTTGCCTCCTTGCTTGGCAAGGGCAGAGATTCTTTGTGTAGCCCATATCCTCCTCCTCAAAACCTTTGGGTACTGGTGCCTCTGACTCTCTCTGAGGAGCCCATCCTAGTGTGCTCCACCCCTCAAAGATTCCCAGAAATGTTTCCCAAAGACCAGCTTGCCACAAGGAGGCATTCAAGCTCCTGTCCCTGCTGCTCTCCTTTCCCCCCACCCCTAGACCCCCGAGGAGCCTGGGTAGTACCGTGAGTCTGCACTGCCCCCGGCCTCCGGGAAGCCTGTGTGCAGGGCAGGGTGACGTCACCCACCCAGGGCGTCACGGCCAGCAGAAGCTTGCGATCCAGGAGTCTCTGGCGTAAAGTATGTCTCTGGCGCTGCCGCCACAGCCTCTTCAGGTGGGGCCCAGTCACGCCGTCTCCAGGGCCAGGCCCGGGGGGTGAGTCAGGCAACACTGGCTGCCTCTGTCTTTCCTTCTGCAAGGAGAAAGGCTACCTAGGCCCTGGGACAGGCCAGGGTCCCTAGGGTAATCCTAGTCCCGTGCACTGGAGGCCAGAAAGGATGGTGCAGGGACCCCCTGAGTGTTTGATGAGACAGGAGGGTCTGTGGGATCAGGGTGGCCCACCCATGAGTGTGCACGTGTTTGTGTGCACGTGTGCTCAGACTCTCGCCAGCACATGCTCCAGGCAGCCCTGTTGGTTCTCAGCACCATCCCTGAGGCATCTTCTGCACATGCAGCATCTCCTGATAAGGAGACTGGAGGCCGGGGCCTCCGGGATACCTCCCAGCCTAACCTCCAAAGCATACGCCATGGGCTCTGCTAGCTACATGGTGAAGTGTGATGTTCTCAGGCACAGCCTGCCCCTGAGGAGGGTAGTGGGGTCCCAAGGCCTGGCTCCTGCATGTTAACAGTTCCTTGGGCCCTTGGTAGCTCTTTTTCTAGCAAGGCTACCAGTACACATAGCAGCAAAGGCCATGGGAGGTGCGCTGCTTGTCTGCAGAGCTGCGGCTTCACTGCCGCCCTGAAAGACCACACTGCTGCTCTAGACAGAGTTGCACCCACACCTAGGACCTCAACATTTTGAAGACAGAGATGGAGGAGGGGAAAAACTGGGAGAGAACAAGGGAGTGACACTGTTCAAAAGAAAACGTACTCACTGCCTGACTTACGAAACTGTAACCCCTCTTTACATCACCTTTACAATACAATTTTTAAGAAATTATATCAAAAGCTGGGCACTGGTGGCTCATGCCTGTAATCCTAGCTACTCAGGAGGCTGAGATCTGAGAATCAAGGTTCAAAGTCAGCCTGGGCAAGTCAGTCCATGAAACTCTTATCTCCAATAAACCACTAGAAAACCAGAAGTGGCGCCGTGGTTCAAAGTGGTAGAGCGCTCACCTTGAGCTGAAGAGCTGAGGGATAGTGCCCAGGCCCAGAGTTCAAGCCCCACAACCAGTTAAAAAAAAATTACATCAAAATATTCATCTGCACAGAAACTGACTGGTTAAATAAAAAACTGAAGACAGGGGCAGGCAAACACCTATGACCAGGCAGGCCAGAGAGGGCTGGCTCATACTCTGTACAAGAGGGCAGACACACCCTTGCAGGTTGTGAATACATGGAGGACAGCTCCTTCCCTGCCCTCTTCCCTTCCCCCCACTTGGGACTGAAACAACGCAGATTTTCCTTCAAATGAAGTTAAAGGATCTCATTTGCAACTGTAGGAATGGGAATGTAGCTTAGTGGTAGCGTGCTTGCCTAGCATGAATGAAGCCGTGGGCTCAATTCCTCAGTACCACATAAACAGAAAAAGCTAAAGGTGGTGCTGTGGCTCAAATGGTAGAGTGCTAGCCTTGAGCTAAAGAGCTCAGGGGCAGCGCCCAGACCCAGAGTTCAAGCCTCACGACTGACCAAAAAAAAAAAAAAAACAAACCAGAATAAACCTATGGAGATCTAACAATGAACCCCCATAGCTAATGTAGGCCAATAAAAAAAAACAAAACTTTTTTTTCCGTTGGTATTAGGGCTTGAACTCTGGGCTTGGGTGCTGTCCCTGAGCTTTTCATCTCAAGGCTAGTTCTCAACCACTTGAGTCACAGCAACACTACCGGTTTTCTGGTGATTAACTGGAGATAAGAGTTTCATGGGCTTTCTTGCTCAGGCTGGCTTTGAACCTTGATCCTCAGCAATCAGCCTGAGTAGCTACCAGCACCCGGCCAAAACAAAAAACAGTAACAACAACAACAAAAAACTTAAAATGCTTATAAATCCAAATGCCTGCTCAGCCATGCTCTGAATTGTGACTTGAAAGCAAACATGTTCGCCGCCAGCCTCAGGAAGGCTTCTGGCCATGGGGCCACGCTGAAATGAAGCAGCACATTCCAGCACATGCCCCAGGGACACACTAGTGCAGGCTAGACACCAGGCTGCCATACGGTCCCTCCGCCTCCGCCACTTCCCCCTTGCCTGTAGTCTGGGGTGCACAAGAGACCCACCTCGAAGGCTGGCTCCTCCACGTTCACTGGGTGAGTGTCTGGTGGGTGTGGGTACTGGACCCCTCTTGGGATGGTGCCTTGTATCCTGGAAGGCGGCTTCCCTCCAGGAGCAGAGGTGGGAACTTCCTTGGGGCGACTTGGGGCAGCATCAGAGCCCTTGGGGAGGGAAGAGGAGGCACCTCCTTTCTGTGGCTGGCTAGCACTTTGCCTGGCAGGAACCCACAGGTCCAGGTCTGGTACTGTGTACTGTGGGGGCAGCAGCACTCTGGCTTGCCCCTGAGGCTCTTCCAGTTCCGCCTCTGAGCTCTCACTGCTGCTGCTGCTGCTGCTGCTGCTGCTGCTGCTGCTGGCATCAGCACTGTCCTCACTGCCGCTGTCACTGCTGCTACTGGAGCTCCAGTGGACCCTGCGGCGTGGCCTCCGCCGCCGCCGTCTAGGGAGGCTCTGATTCCTCTGAGGGAAGGAAAAGGCCACGTGGAGGGGCAGCTAACCCAGCACAAAGAACAGCCTCAGGTCAAGTTCTGCCCAACCAGGACACTGCCAGGGGAAAGGGTGCTGCTCATGGCAGGAGTCTGGCCTGTGGCCTCTGCTGCCCTTCTTCCCCTAGCAGTCCCGTGGCTCTCCTGGGATGGGCCTTCTGACTTCCAGAAAAGCTCCAAAAGGGAACAAATGTCTTACCCCAACCATGATTTTCCACTTGCTCAGACACTGGGAACCTGACCGATGAGGTAGTTCAGAAGCAATTTTTGCCCAGTGACCTACGAAGGCAAAACCACAGGAGTACTGTTGCATGCTGCTACCTTAAGACAATAAAAGCTGATAAATTTGTGAAGGGTCTGCAGCCTCCAGGAACAAGGCAGGGCATTCAGCACCAACTACCCACTCCCCTATGCCCAGCAAAAGACCAAGTCACTGATGCTGATGCACCTGCATCTTGGGATGACCAGCCCTTCAAGAAAGTTCTGGAAAATACAAACAGAAAGGAAAACTTGTCCACAAGTTCTTTTTTGTTTTGGGGTCCAGTCATGGGGCCTGAACTCTGGGCCTGGGCGCTGTCCCTCAGCTCTTCAGCTCAAGGCTAGCGCTCTAACACTTGAGCCACAGCGCCACTTCTGGCTCTTTTCTTTTTGATTATGTGGTGCTAAGGAATCGAACCCAGGGCCTCAGGCATGCAAGGCAAGCGCTCTACCACTGAGCCACCTTCCCAGACCCCCCACAAGTTCTTAATATGATCATCCAAACCAGACTACAGCCACACTTCAAGACATTTCTAATGATTTATGTGTCAGCAGGAGTGATACCCGCACCTTGAGTTTATGATGCAGAATGAGAAGGAGTGAAGGAACCCTTTCTTATGTGTCTTGAGCCAGGCAACACCACAACTAGATTTAGTCTAAGGAGATATTGTTAACATAAGCAACTTTTTTCTTTTTTTTTAACTTAGGGACTGGGCACTGCCTCTGAACTTTTTTGCTCAAAGCTAGTGGCTCTACTCGAGCCACAGATCCACTTCTGGCTTTTTGGTGGTAAACTGGAGACTATAGTCTCACGAACTCTCCTGCCTAGGACAAGCTTTGAACTGTGATCCTCAGATCTCAGCCTCATGAGTAGCAAGAATTATAAGCATTTATAGCTCCTATTTAGCTCACTAGCAAAAATGAAGAAATGTTCAATGTCTGTGGAGAGAAGAGCTCCTCTTCAGGATTAGCGGTTGGGCTGCTCATGGCCACATGCTGTCAGGAGGCACAAGGGTACTACAGCTTTCCCTATGCAGGCTTCTGCCAGGGAGGAGTAGTTAGGTCACTCTACTTCCTTCTATACATTTGCACTTCTGGATTTTCTATACAGATTGATAGTAATTTGTAATAGGGGCGGAGAGGTATGGCTCAGTGGTATAGCACTTGTCTAGCATGCATGAGATCCTGGGTTCCATACATTACTCCCCGCCCCACACTCTGGAAAAAGATAGAGCAAAAGAAATTCTAATAGGGGACGCCCCCCATCATCTGTCACAGCGGCCTTCTTAGGGCACAGCGTTGGAATGGTTCAAACTCTGGGCCTCTAAAGTGGCTGCAGGGGGGCTGGGAAGGTGTCTCCGTGGTAGAGTGCTTGCATCGCATGCATGAAGCCCTGGGTTCAATTCCTCAGCACATATAAACAGAAAAAGCTAGAAGTAGCACTGTGGCTCAAGTGGTAGAGTGCTAGCCTTGAGTTGAAGAGCTGAGAGACAGCACCTAGGTCCAGAGCTCACAACCCATGACCGACATACATACATACATAAAGTGGCTGCAGACCCTCAAAGGGACTAAAGCCAGGAGACACAGATGGGGAAACACCTCCATGACTTACCAACACCATATTTTTCTATTAATTCAATTAACTGCTCCTCTTCTTTTGCATTCCATCGTCCCTTCTTCAAGCTGAAATGTAATCTTCTGAGATAGCTGAGAGCAATGTGGAAGCAAAGGAATATTTTAGTTTCCTAACTTCCCAATAATTTCTTAGGCATGATATCAAAAGCACAAGAAATATAATGATTGGGCTGGGAATGTGGCTTAGTGGTAGAGTGCTTGCCTAGCATGGATGAAGCCCTGGATTCAATTCCTCAGTACCATATACACAGAAAAAGCCAGAAGTGGTGCTGAGGCTCAAGTGGTAGAGTTCTAGTTTTGAGCAAAAGAAGCTTAGGAACTGTGCCTAGGCCCTGAGTTCAAGCCCCAGGACTGGCACAAAAAAAAGAAATGTAAAGATAAACTTCACCAAAACCTAATACTTTTGAACTTCAAGGGACCTCACCAAGAAAGACAATGGCTAGGTGCAGTGGCTTCTAAACCAAGCCACATAGGAGGTAGAGACTAGAAGGACTGCAGTTCAAGCCAGACTTAGCAAAAAGTTGGCAAAACCCCCATCTCTGCAAGTAAGCCAGGAGTGGTGGTACAAGTCCATAATCAAGTACTGTAGGAGGCCGAAGGAAGACTGCAGTCCAAGGCCAACTTTAGGTAAAACCACAAAACCCTGCTTAATTATTAACTAAAGAGAGCTAGAAACATGGCTCAAATGGCAGAATGTAAATCTAGTTTGAGGCCTTGAATTAAAATCTTGGTACTGCATAAAAAAAAAAAAAAAAGTAGGAGCCAGGTATTGGTAGTTCACGCTACTCAGGAGGCTGAGATCTGAGGAGCATGGTTTAAAGCCAGCCTGGGCAAGAAAGTCTGTGAGCCTCTTATCTCCAATTAACCACCAGAAAACCAGAACTGGTGCTGTGGCTCAAAGTAGTAGAGCTCTAATTTTGAGCAAATTAGAGCTGAGGAACAGTGCTCAGGCCCAGAGTTCAAGACCAAAAAAAAAAAAAAAAGTAAGTAGGAAGACAAGGTACAGATTGGAAGGTTATTTGTAAATGGCCTATCTGATAAGGGGCCTGTAAGAGAATATATGAAGAACTTTTGCAAGCTAATACAGAGACGACCTAAGCATGGCAGCACACACTTACAATCTTAGCACTCAGGAGCATGAACGGTCTGAGACTAGCCTGAGAACCTGTCTCAATCCTTCCCTCCAACAAAACAAAACCAAAGAACAGTAATTTAACAAACACTTGACACAAATGCTCAGAATGTTCTCAAGGTTAACACATAGTAAGTACCTATCTTCTCTTTATTTCACTAGTGACGTTGCTCTGAACATTCTTGTAATAGTAATATATTGTTCCCACTTTCAAGTTTTTTGGGTTTCTTATCTATTGATTGTTTTGGGTTCGGTTTTCTTTTCCATGTGCTAAGGAACTTCCCCAGTACCCCACAAAGACTGTGTCATCCTATGGTCCCGCCAAGTGTGTGACATTCCAACCCCCTCCGATTTGCTGTCCTAGTGCAGATGGCACTGCAGGTCTGGCTTGTTTCTGTAATACTGACTGGGAGCATCTTTTTAGTGCTTCGTGGACATTTGTGACAAGTCTGTGGAAGGGTTTTCTCAGACTTAACTGGGTGCTATGCTACTGAATGGGGTTTCTGCCTGAGGTAATCCAAAGGATTACCTCAGAAGGAGCTGCTGCCTGTGTGGACCAGGGAGCCACCAGCATCTGACCTCTAGACAAGTAACTCAAGTAGTAGAAAAGTCTGGACTGGGAAAGAAACAGCTTCTCCTGCTTCCCTCAACCCTGATATAGGAAGCCCAAGAGCCAGCCTCTCCTAGGACTGCGCACCCCCGAGTGATGGTACCCTCCTGGCCTCAGCTCCCTGGCGTGACCCAGGAGGCCTCCACACATCCCCAGGGCTGCAGGGCTCACCGGTCCCGGCACTGGGCATCACTCCTGCCTGGCACCTCTTCTCTGATTTTAAACCAGTCCTGCTCCCCGTACTTGGCAACAGCCTGAAGCAGCTTCTGTAGGACGGACAAACAAAGGTGCCTCTGAGGGTGTGTGTAACTGTGCCCCATTAACCTGAGGTCAGCTGAGCAGACACTGCAGGCCAGCAGCCACTTGGGACATGCCAGCTAAGCTTCCTGGGCACCCACCCCCTCAGGTCCCACAAACTCACAGCGTCTTCCTCGGGGGTCCAGAACCCCTTTTTCAGGCTAGGATCCAAGCTCTTGGTCCATCGGTAGATCAGCTGCATCGAGTCTCTCCCTTCCATGTAGTAGACAACTGGGGGTGGAGGGGATGTGTGGGGGTCTGCACAGATGTCCTGTGCAGATGGAGGACAGGGCTGCACACAAGATGGCCAATTACAGAGTCACACAGAGGAGAGCCTAGGACAATGTTACCCTCCCTTCTATGCCAATCCCTAATTTCAGGTATTGGGGGGAGAGGGGGGTGGAATGGGAGGCATCCCAAGAGGCCTCGTGCTCACTTCTGCGGTATGGGATGTGGTCCCCGACACGCATCTCCTGGACCAGCTGGGTGAGCATGTGGTCCTCCTCCTCTGTCCACTCCTTGCGCTTCAGTGCTGTGTTGTGCTGCTGGAATTTCTGCAGGCACTGGAAGGCACTGCGGCCGGTCTTCCCAAGGCCAAACAAAAGCACACAGGTGTTAGTGGGCCTTACCCCGAGGACTGAGCTTATGGGTGTTAGTGGGCATTACCCCAAGCACTGAGCAACAGGCAGAAAGGCTCTGTGGGGCCTCCAGAGTACAGGAGGGCCTAGGAGCCAAAGGGAAGCGACCTTCTTCCAGGCTCCTGCAGGTCAAAACATGTTGCCTCAAGATAGAAACACCAAACATGGGACACACAGCCCCCGAGAGGACCAGCTACCAGGGAGAGGAGAGGACATGATTATAGGGAAGAAAGCTCCCAACAGTAACTAAGATGACATCCAAACCAGAGCGGAACATCTGACCACTCTCCAGCTCAACAACAAAGCCAAGAAAAAGAGAGAGAGAGAGTGAGAGTGTATGTATGTGTATGAGTGTGTGTGTGTGTGTGTCACAGACCTTGAATTCAGAGCATGGCACTGTTCGATCAAGACGAGCAGTCTACCACTTTGAGCCACAGGGCCACTTCTGGCTTTGTGATGGGTTAACTGGAGAAAAGAGTCTCATGGACCTTCCTGCTAAGCTTGCTGTGAACCATGATTCTCAGATCTCAACTGCCTGAGTAGCTAGGATTATAGCATGAGCCGCCAGAACTTAGCTAAAAAATTCATTGCAAATATAACTTAACAAGTAAATAAAAATCAAGTTGCATGTACAAAATTACACAGCAAATCTACCAAGAGGCCTAAGAACCCTAATTTTTAGCAGGGTGTGATGGGTCTGACCCAGAGATCGAAGGCCCAGAATAGACCAGAACCGACCCACTCTGCATTTACAGAGGCGGACAGGTCTCTCCTCAGAAAGCAGAAAGGCTTCTGTGAAAACAGTTTTAGCAAGTTTAGTTTGTCATACCCTTGGGTTCTGCCACAGACAAGTGATAAGCTTTTTAACAATGGAGATTTTAGAGAACATGTGCACAGTTCAGTCCCTCACACTGAAGGATGCAAAGACAGCACAACACCTAACTGTTTGAACATGAAAAACTGCATTCCTAGAAGAATTTAGGGTCAGAGAAACAAAAACATAAAGGACATATTCCCTAGAAATCCACTTACAAGTGTTATACCAGATCCTCTCGTGCCCTTAAATGATGATCATGGGACAAGAGACCCAAGGAGAGAGCTTTTCTCACCTTAGGAAGCAGATAAGCTACGATACACGTCAAGCCTAGGCAATGCTGCCTCTTACCCCTAGCTCCTCTGCAACTTGCTGCCATTCCAGGTGGCCATGCTTGGCTGCGATGGCCCTCAGCCGATCTGCCTCCTCTGTGCTCCAATCCTGCTTGTTGATGCTTGGGTGCTCAGAGCTCTGCCAGAACTTCTGAATCTCCTCTGCACTGCGGCCTCCTTCAAACTACAGCAGAAAGCCAAGGTACACAGACTTCAGGGCGGGTGATACCAAGCACACCCAGACACAGCTCTGGACTGAGCCAGCTCCACTGGCTGGAAGGGACTAGGTACTGCGTAAATCAGGCCTGCTCTGACTCACATTGACATTGGAAATCTTCTCCCAGTCATGGCTGTCCAGCCTGTTCCCCAGCAAGGCTTCTTCCGGAAGCTGGCTGGAGAAAGGGGCAGGGAAACAGTGTCACACCCAGCCTGCTGGCTTCCCCTTCTACCCAGGGGGGAGGCCCCAGCTCACTTGATATCCTGGATCTCCTTCTCTGCTTCCCTGACTTGCTTCTCCAGGGCCTGCCTCTCTGGCTCACTGGACACACGGCTCTGCTTCTGGCGTAAATACTCAAGCCTGCAAGGCAGAGCAGACGCAAAAGGGCTGGAGGCCCTGGTTTTCTGAGCTGCCCATGTGGGATTTGTCTATGGCACAGACAGGAGTGGAAAGACTGCCAGAGTTTGCTTCCTCTCCTATTCTGGCTTTTCATCACAAAGAAAGCTGTGGTGCAGTCTCTGAGATGTCCCTTGGGCCAGAACAGTGTTGTCTGGGACAAGAACAAGCTGCCATGCATTTGCAGAGGCAGGGCATGGCTCCCTAATGCCTGTGTCTCAAACCCTGGCCCACCCTGTCAAACTAGGGACATAAAATGCAGGTGCCTGCAAGAAGCCTTGACCCTTAGGCCTCACGCTGATGCTATAGCCATGAACTGCTTCCCAGACCTGCTGAGGGATGAGTCCCTGCTGCACACCCCTGCCACCTGGCCTAGCCGTAAGCCTCTGGTGCTCCAGATGTTGTATGGTAGATCCAGTTTCGAGATCACTAGAGAAGCCACCACTTAAAAGGCCAAATTTGAGGGCTGGAAAGGTGGCTCGGTGCATGCATGCATGAGGCCCTGAGCTTGATTCCTCAGCACCACATAAGCAGAAAAAGCTGGAAGTGGCACTGTGGCTCAAGTGGCAGAGCACTAGCCTTGAGCTGAGGGACAGCACCCAAGCTCAGAGTTCAGGCCCCATGACTGACCATAAAAAAGGCCAAATTTAAGCCAGGCACTGGTGGCTCATGCCTGTAATCCTAGCTACTCAGGAGGCTGAGAGCTGAGGATTGTGGTTCAAAGCCAGTCCAGGCAGGAAAGTCCATGAGACTCTCATTTCCAATAAAACCACCAGAAAACCGCAAGTGGGCTGTGCCTCAAGTGGTAGAACGCTTGCCTTGAGCTGAAGAGCTGAGAGACAACACCCAGGCCCAGAGTTCAAGCCCCACGACAAAAAAAAAAAAAAGGGGGGCTGGGAAGGTGGCTCAGTGGTAGAGCGCTTGCCTTGCATGCCTGAGGCCCTGTGTTCGATTCCATAGCACTACATAAGCAAAAAAAGAAAGAAAAAAGCTGGAAGTAGCGCTGTGGCTCAAGTGGTAGAGTGCTAGCCTTGAGCTGAAGAGCTGAGGGACAGCGCCCAGGCCCAGAGTTCAGGCCCCACGACCGGACCCAAAAAAAAAAAAAAAGGGCCAAACTTGGAGTCTTTATTGGAGTGCTAACGGGTGGCAGGGGGACTCCAGTCTCGTGAGGCCACTCCTGAAGGTAGGCCCCTGGCTCCAGGGGGCGACAGCATCTGCAGTCATGTACAACAGCAGCGCCTGCACTTTAACACTCATGTGACCTTTCTTACCAGCAAGCCCACAAGGCAGGTCTCGAAGACAATCACCTTCCAGGGGAACCAGAAGCCCAGAGAAGAGAAAGTGCCCAAGGCACACAATGAAATGAAGCTAGCTGTTCAGCCAACTATGATCACCTCTTAGGAGGAGGACAGAGTGCAGGTAAAGGCATCTTGGGCTGGCAGAACAGTGGCAGAGGACAGAGTGTGCTGGGCCAGACTTCACAAGCCCACAAGGCTGCTGGGTTTCTGCTTCAGAGAAGACTGGATGACCTGTCTGCAGACTTACTTTAGCAACTTGGGCTGGAGCAGACGCTGCAGGCGGTCGCTCACCACAGACTTCCGGAGCAGGGCTTTCTCCCAGTGCTTCCCTGGGGACAACAGTAAAATTATGACATACTTACTGTCCTCTGAACTGTCTCCAGGCCCAGGCACCACTGCTGGCTCCCAGCTATAGCTGAGAAAGTGGGTGCACCAAGGCCTTTCTGGATGCAGGTGAGCAGCTGGCTAGGTCTCTCTCCAGCCAGTAACTGCCTCTGAGGGCTACCTAAGCCTATGACAGGCCTTCCGGGGTGGGTGTTCTGAGCAGGAGGGAAAGAGATGGGAAGTGAGGGATAGGCAGTAGAGTGTAGAAGCTGGGAAGCCCACCCACGGGCTTGCCATGGCTCTTACACTTGGTCACCAGGAGCGCCTCGAAGGCCTTGATTCCTTGGGCAGCCTTCTCTCGAGTGTCTTCATTGGCAGGGGGACCCTATCAAACACGGCGACGTCAGAATGTGTAGACCCTCTGTGCTCACCTTCAAGGACTACTGCCTTCCCCCAGGCCCCCACCGGGACTCAAGAGTGCCCATCCACATACAAGGCCAGGCAATCTGATCTCCGCACCCTTAACTGCTGCTACACAAACAGCTCTGGGCATGACTACTGCACAGGGTAGGTTCAGAGGACTCCACGCTCATGGCACAGAGCTGCCATTAGGAATGGTGAATCTCTACGGGGCTTGCTGATGCCCCACACTTTCTCCAGCCCCTTGATGTCCTACTCCCCCTTTTCGCAAGGAGGCTGGAGAATGTATCCTGAAGGATTAAAAGAGTGAAATACCATTCCCAAGCACCTGGAGAACTAGAACCCTTCTCACAGGGCACAGAAGCCTTCTGATGAAAGCAGGCTATGGCCACTCACCACTCCAGTGACCTTGTCCTTGAAGTACGGCTTCATGAAGTGGCCTATGTACATGTTGGGAGGCAGGCTTCTGCCTTCCTTCATCTTGAGGCCTTTGGACCCAGCCAAATCCCATAGAATTTCCTCCTGGGGTAAAAGCAGGTATGTGTGGGAAGAGGGCAGGCTGCAGGGAGTATCCCCACCCTATGCCCTGTCCCAGGAACCTGGCTAGGAGCTTCAATGCAGATGGTCCTACCTGCTGCTCCCGGTTCTGGGCCAGCAACTGGCTGACCTCTGCCAGCTTCTCACGGATGACCTCTTGGTAGACCATATTGAGCTGCAGACAAGTCTCAGGGTCTTCAGGGAGTGTTTTATCCTTGTGGTCCTCTTCATCATTGCTGGCCTCACCCCACCTTTCCCCTTCCTGGTGAAGAAACAGAAATGGCAAATGAGGAACTGGCACACAGAGGCATTCCCACTCCTTGAGGTCCAGCCATATTCCAGTTCCTGGCCTCTGATATGACACTGGTACATGAGCACCAAACGTGGAGAGAGAGGTAGGGCTTGGTAATGAGCCTATCATTCTTTTTTTTTTTTGGGTCCAGTCGTGGGGCCTGAACTCTGGGCCTGGGCGCTGTCCCTCAGCTCTTCAGCTCAAGGCTAGCGCTCTACCACTTGAGCCACAGCGCCACTTCCAGCTTTTTTCTTGCTTATGTGGGGCTGAGGAATCGAACCCAGGGCCTCAGGCATGCAAGGCAAGCGCTCTAGCCACCTTCCCAGCCCGAGCCTATCATTCTTGAGGAGGAACATGAGCACTTTTTTCTTTTTCTTGTTGATCGAGGGGCTTGAACTCTGGGCCTGGGCACTGTCCCTAAGCTCTTCAGCTCAAGGCTAATGCTCAACCACTTGAGCCACAGCGCCACTTCTGGTTTTCTGGTGATTCACTGGAGATAAAGTCTCATGGATGCTCCTGCCCGGGCTGGCTTTGAACCTTGATCCTCAGAGCTCAGCCTCCTGAGTACGTAGGATGACAGGCGTGAGCGACCAGCACCCAGCCAAGCAACAGAGTTTTAATGCACACCCCTCCAGGCCACTTTACAGGGTAGCAGCAGGTCTGTCTCAGCCAGATGAGTAGTAATTACCAAGACTGGAGCACCAGTGGTGTCTGAGTCTTCATTGGGCAGCGAATCTGTCAGAAAAACGAGCACATGGTAATGAAAACACAGCAAGAAGAATGGGAGCAGTGGGCAGGAAGAGCATGCAGGGAAGGGGTGAGCCTCTACAACGGGTGCATCTGAAGAGCTAACTATGCAGTGATCTTGGGTGGTCTGGGCTATAGTAACTGCCAGGATGGCATGGTCACCCAGAGAATCCAAGAGCCCAAGGCAGGATGGCAGCACAGGCAGGCTGCCTACACACAGACAACAGGTCCAGGGGCTAACTACGCAGTTCTCTGCGCTGTGGTAAAAGTGAAGGCCAGCTTGAGAAAAACTCAGAACATGGCAACACAGCATATGTCCTCAAAATGACAGAAGAGAAGGAAACCCAAGGACACAAGGATCTAACCACACCCTAGGGGGTCACATACAGAGGCTCACCTGCTTCAGAGCCTGAGGAATCGAGACTTGATTCAGAGACTTCCAAGTGGATGCTGGAAGAACTGGGATCCAAAATCCTTTCCAGCTCCTTGATCTCCTTTGTTATTTTCTCTCTTTCTGCATCTATGTCCATGGTTTCTGCCTGCCTCCACAATATGAGTGTTAAGAATCAAGAGTGCCCACGTCCCATCCTTCTTCAAACAGACACACCTACTCAGGACAGCCAGAGCCTACTCCAAAGCCAACACTGAGTTCTCTAGAAGGTAGAGAGACCCATGCCCAGATGTGGGGAGCCCGGGTCTGTAATCTGATTCTCTTTGGCATCTCAATATCTCATACTTGTTTTCAAGGAATGTTACTGGTTAAGTCTGAGGAAAAAAGAAACTGGGAAGAGAGAATATTACAGAAAACAAGCACAGGAGCTGGGAAGGTGGCTCAGTGGTAGAGTGCTTGCCTTGCATGCATGAGGCCCTAGGTTCGATTTCTCAGTACCACATAAGCAGAAAAAGCTAGAAGTGGTGCTGTGGCTCAAGTGGTAGAGCGCTAGCCTTGAGCTGAAGAGCTGAGGGACAGCGCCCAGGCCCAGAGTTTAAGCCCCACCCACGACCCACAAAAACAAACAAAACAAAAGAGAAAAAAAAAGAAAACAAGCACACACCCAAGACTAGCAACAAAGAAGATAAACATCCTAAGCCCAGTGTAGTAACACATGCCTGTAATCTCAGCATTTGGTGAGAGTCTGAGGATCCCAAATCTCTGGCCAGCTTAGGATCTAAGACTGTCTTTTAAGAAAAAAAGGAAAGCCATTCTCCCCTGTCTTTGGCACATGCTTCTCCCAGTTCTCCCAGCTGAGTGCCCACGCAGCAACAAAACAAAGCAACCGCCAGGGTGCAGCCTTCTGTTGCATTAGGAATGCACTACTCTTCATTCACCCAGGGGATGCCTGTAAATCCGTAAACAGAACACAGCTGACCCCAGTTGGACCTGCAGAACCTGAAGACCACTTGCAGGTTCAGAGCGGCCATTTGGCCAGGAGGCATCTTCTTCAGAAAGCCTGGCTTCTAAAGAACGAGCAACTGGTTCTTTGAAGAGAACTACACTTATTTCCTGTCCTTGCTTCCAGACAAGTGAACAAGGTCATAGTCCCAAATTCAGATACTGAGTCGAGTTCCACAAGACCACTTTCCACATCACAGGCTGCCTTTTTGCCTGGTGCCTCCTCCTCACAAAAGGCAACCTCACAGACTCCTTGTGGAATCCGGGTGAGAGGTGGGCTGAGGTGCGGGTGGCTCACACCTGTAATCCCAGCTGCTCAGGAGACTGAGATTAAGGATGGCAATGTGAAACCAGCCCAGGTAGGAAAATCCATGAGACTCATTACCTCTAACCACCAAAAAGCTGGAGGTGGAGTTGTGGTTCAAGTGGCAGCGTGCCAGACTTGAGTGAAAAAGCTCAGGGTAGCACCCAGGCCCTGAGTTCAAGCTGCAGGAATAGCAAGAGAGGAGAGGTGGGGGAGAAGAGGGAGGGTGTGGGGGGGAAGTG